GTCAGAGCTGGCGACGACCTGGCACGACTAGTATAGAAGTAGTAGGGCACATCTACTACTCACCGAAGGTACTAGCCACGGTCTATTTTCACGGCCTCGTGCACGATCATTAACGAGAGGAGCAGACCGCGAGGAGGATCTTACTAGCACGAGCGGACTCTGCGTGCGGCGAGGTAGAGCGGCTGCACGGGGAAGTTCGGAGGGTGACGACCACCTTCAGGATTGGAGGACACTTCCCATACCCTAGCAGTCGACTGCGTGTCACACTTTCGTGCTTCGTGGGGGAGGAGCTTTGGGGACTTAGGCGTCTTGGGTGAGATCTACTTTGCGGCTCTTGACTTGGACGGTCTCTGCCGGGGATACGATGATAGGGACTGGGTGCTGTATGCGCAGTTTGTAGCAGGGCCACTTGTAGGCGAGCGAGGGCTCCAGTTGATTGAGTTCCTGCGGGCCATTGTACCTACCGGGAGCCCTGACCTATACTCTCTGTACCAGCCCCTAGCCTTCTAGACGACGCTTGAGAGAGAGGCTCAGAGACCTACAGATCATTTAGCTGGAGTAGGACAGCTGATAGCCGAGACTCGTGAGGAGAGGCCGGGCCATCTTATCTCGACCGGGGAGGTTGAGGAGTATTACCGGTAAGTATATCCAGAGGCTGACGATCTTGCATGGTACGCTGAGGAACGGGATTGGGAGGACTTCGATGACATAGACCCTTGGGGCGACCAGGACGAGGGCTGGGGAGATGTGGCACAGGCCGAGGGACAGGAGCAGGTTGGTGGAGAGGCGCTGCAGGAGGACGGCTGGGGGCACCTCCTTCAAGCTGAGAGACAGGAGGATATCCCATGGGGTCAGAGGGTAGATGAGGACAGAGACGAGAATACGCCAGATGCATGAGACGACTAAAGGCAGGTCATATCCGAGTGAGGCTTAGAGAAGGGAGTAGTGGAGAGACGGTAAGTAGATATCTTTAGGCAAGACGAGAGTGGCAATAAGAGCAGGAAAGGATGGCAGACAGGGATACACTGAGAGTGACTCTTTCCCTACGACGAAATATGACAGGTGGCTGGGAAGAAGAAGCGTTGGGCAATGTTGAGCGACAGATCAGACTCATGACGGAGCATGCCCTGGAGATACGGAGAGGCTAGAGATACGTCGAATTTACTATCTATTTCCATGGAGCAGATGGGAGAGTGCACAACACCTATTCGGCCATACTGGACCTGAGTGGGAGAGTTGTCTGAGCAGTTAGCGACGACGTGAGACAGGGATCGTTGAAGGGAGTAGAGTGATACGGATCGAGTGGCGAAGGGGAGATGAGGAGTGACTCGATGGCTTGGCTAGCTTATGTTCTCTCACGAGAGTCCGAATCCTACAGCGCGAGGAAACTCGTAGGACCCAGAGAGACGGTTGTTGGATATGATATTCCTCTTCCTGTGGGGATAGAGGAGACTGGCTGTGTCCCGATACGTTACCTTGGGACGTGGCTGGCAGAGGGACTTTTTCTTTGGACGGTGATACTAAAAGATAGACGACCTGAAAGGACTCATGACCTAGAAGGGGTCGGACATCTGATAACGGACAAAGCACATGATTTAGACATAGGACTGACACTCGCAGGGGGTAGCAGGGCTTGGTGGAGAAACGAGTCGTTGGCCCGAGTTATCGTTAATCATCAACTGGCGAGACTCTCTGGAGGAAAGACGTATTAGAGTCGCTTGGTATACGGTCCTCTGCATCTGACCCTCTACCCGAGAGAGGGTTGGCGATTCGGACTCCCTGCGTTCGTGATAGGGAAGACCTATGGGAGCGTGGATCGTCTGAGTATAGCAGTGGACCACACACTTTAGGCGCTTTGGGAGGGCTTAGCTCCCTGTTTCAGGGAAGCATACTACGCCATTTGTGTAAGGTGGGAACCACCCAACAGAGAGACGCTTGGCGACATCATAGACGTTACTTCCTGGGTGGACTGTCTGAGGCCAGTCGATCTGATTAGGTACTGCAGGAGACGAGCGAAGATTGATTACGTGGGGCTAAAGGATGTGAGGTTTCTCTTCGAGGCCGCAACTTAGGGAATGTCGGGGAGGACGACAACTGTGATGCACGTAGATAAGCAACTGGTAAGCACAGAGTACATTGTGACGGTGCTTCTCCGAGCGTACATAGATGAGGACTTGACGGTGAGGGAGTGCCGACTACGAGCCAGGGATTTGATCCACGAGCATAGAGCTGATGTACTGGCGCAGGTGACCTTCCAGACCTCGATTGCGTATGATTTGATGATATGGGCTCATGGTTATATGCGCGCGGAACACTACCAGGATGAGACGGTAGCGGAGGCTAGAGCAAGGGTGTGAGGATGAGCTGGAAGGAGATGTGGACTGAGTATGGAAGAGGTGAGTGAGGCGGTCGGAAGAGTGAGAAAGTGCATTAAAGAACCACTCTTGAACCAGGTAAAGGAGTTAGGGAATAAGATAAGGGAGATTGGGTCATGACAGGATGAAGGCAAGTAGCGTAGGGTTGAGCTCGCGATGAAAGAGTTAGAAAGTTTGTTCAGGGAGGATAGAGAGATTATCCAGGCGTGGAGATCAGTCCTTCTGGAAAGGGTAAAGGCAAGGAACCTGCCGCGCGAGGGACCTAGGGAAAAGTATGCAGAGGACGTAGCAACGGAGGACAAGGTAACGCAGGGAGATAGCAACAGGATATGAGCGGGACTGCCCTACACACGACAGACAGGTACTCATTGCATGTGGTAGGGAGACTGGACGGACCACTGGTGTTAGTGATCGTAGAGCTCCAACTCCATACCAGGTTGTGTATAGTTGAGGAGGCAGAGTATGTTCGCCGGGCATTGCGTGAGGCTAGGGGAACAAGACTTTGGATTGGAGTGGAAGGAGGACGAAGGATAAAATACGTACCTCAAGTAACACCTTTCGAAGGACGGTCTCTGATAAGGGCATGGTACGAGACGACCAGAGAGGTTGAGAGGTTGAAGATAAGCGAAGCCAGGAGAGCTGGGGAGCTAGGGAGAGTTATAATAGACGGATCGATACTGAAGGTGCTAGCTGCTCACGACCGGTACTGGAGGGAATCGATAAAGACTTTAGAGGCAATAGAGGATAGTGGATATGAAGAAGATTTTGAGATGTTCTATGACATATTGGAGTTGTCGGCGATGAGATTACGAGCAGCTATAGCACTGACACCCCTCAGATACTAGATAGACGACCTTATAGCTGTCTGAGAGTTAGAAGAGGAGATGGTTAGATGGCAGTAGGAGGAGAGTTTCCTCCTTTTGCGGGCTACCCGGTTCAAGGCGGACTAGATGATCTAGCAAGGAGGACGGAGATAGACGTTCGAGGACTCTTGAGAGGTGTCAGTCGGGAGACATTGGTTAGGCTTGGGACTGCGATCTGCAGCAGAAGTAAAAATCCTGTCACCGGTGTAGTGCAGATCAGGCAAGGCGCGGCCTTGTTGGGGGAGCCCGAGGGAGAAGTTTAGATAGACACTGATTCTTGGGATAGAAGGAGAGCACAAGGTCCGCGACGGGAACGGAGTACTGGTGGCGATAATCAAAGCAGTCGAGAGCTAGGACTGGAGACGAGCGAGAACCGTGACAAGCAAATAGGTCCGGGTTGCGAGTTCTGCCACAGGTCCGGGCTGTAACGCCCGGCGAGCCCAACTACAGCTTCTGGAAGCCTGTGGAACTAGACACGATGGGGCTACAACCGACCACGGTCGAAACAGGAGAGAAGTACAGGACATCGCCCGACCGAGCACTGAGGGATCTGAAGGAACAAATTAGGCAGGGGGTGCCACTGAGATGGGCTGACCAAACCAATGACGGAGAGCCCGACGTAATTGGCGAGCCGGTCGTGACAGAGCCGCAGGAGGCTCTGAAGACAGGAACCTTGAGCGGTCGACGAGAAGCGACGAGACGACGCTCCCCCGAGTATGAGCGGAGGGAAACCATGGCGGATAGGCACAGGGACAACTAGAGAGAGAGTTCGAGGGATTCCTACTGGAGAGACAGGGATAGAGCCCCCCCCCGGCGTGTCTTCAACCCCCAGACGGGGGAGTCCCATCCACTCCCTTACGAGAGCAAGGATCGTTACATCATTACGCACAAGGCCTCAGAGCCTCCCACTTTCAGGGGTTATGGTATCACATAATATCTGGAGAAGTGGGAGCTTCATGCTAGCCAGAGTCAGTGGTCGGAGGAAGAGATTATAGAGAACTTCCTATTTAATGTGGATCCCAGTCTCGGTAAAGAAGTTAAGGAAGCCCGACCGAAGGATGGGAAATGGACTACGTAAAAGAAGAACCTCATTGAGCTTTACAAATTAGAGGATAACAAGTACTCCATCAAGAACCTTGAGACTATGACTCAAGATGAGGATGAAAGCGTACGGGCATTTGGGATGCGTTTCCAGAAGATCTCTGACGTGCTGATGAAGAAGGGGAAAATCTCAGAGGTCGAGCGCTGTACTATCTTAATCGGACACCTGTCCAAGCGCAGGCAAAAGAGTATACTTAGAGATCTCCCGCGCGACAAGCTTGACTTCCCAGGAGTCCTAAAGCTCGCGATAAAGGCAGAGGCAGATGACTACAAGGACTTGGTGTGGAGAGGGATGAGGAGACGTGACTTCTCTCTCTACAAGGAATATGTCACGGATAGATGTCCTGATTTCAAGGACTATCCCTGGTCGGAGAAGAATGAAGCCGTGGTCGAGGAAGTGAAGGAGATAAGGGATATGGTAAAGGGATTGACAAGACAGATTACAGAGATTGTGACCACCACAGGAGCCACGACTTACCGTGACAAGCCCGGAGGGCCCTATTCACTTCGCTGGGACCGGAGGAACACTGATTCCTGGAGGAGTGTCGAGGATAGAAATCCTCGAACGCTGACTGATTATCGTGCGAGGGAAAGGGAGAGAGACGATGAGCCATGGCGACGTAGGGATGATGAGATGGACCGGGACCGTAGGACTCGCGAGACGTATGGGCAAGCTAGGAGACTGGATGATTACTCGTGTAGCCCTCGCTATGAGGCTGACGGGGGTAGAGGCGACTCTCGAGTCCGGTGGGAGTCGGATCAGGGCCGGCGAGACGGGTACAGGGATGGCAGATATAAGAGATCGGACTGAGATGGATACAGGGATGGCAGATATTAGAGATAAGACCGAGATGGATATAGGGATGACAGATATGAGAGATCGGACCGAGATGGATATAGGGATGACAGATATGAGAGATCGGACCAAGATAGACATAGGGACGACAGATATGAGAAGTCGGATCGAGACGGATACAGAGGTGGCAAATATGAGAGAGGAGATCGACGCGATGAGCCGCGCGGGCGATACGACCGAGGAGACGAACGTGATGATTCACGCGGGCGATACGACTGAGGAGACCGATGTGATGATTCACGCGGGCGATACGATCGAGGAGACCGACGTGATGATTCACGCGGGCGATACGAACATGGAGATCGCCGTAATGATTCGCGCGGCAGGAATGAGAGAGGGGGATATGACGCGTCGTCTGATCTGTATCCGAAGTCCCCTGACCCCAGAGCAGCGAGAGGTTCGACCTCCAGGGGCGCAGACGACATGCCACCCACTCCCAGGAACTCTTGCGTCTACTGTAGGGGGGATGATCATATCAAGAGAGATTACCCGGACCTCAAACGGGCAATAGATGAGGGACTTGTCGTGCTTGATGACCGCAAGTACGTGAAGTGGGCAGATGATCTGGGAGACCTATCGATGTTCCCTTTGATGAAGGAGAATGTTGAAGCAAGGAGAGTAAAGTCGAGTAAAGGAAAGTAGACAGTTAGGAGCCATAGCATCAAGATAACTTTCGAAGGAGATATGGCGACCACACCCATAAGGGTGGCAGCTACCAAATCGATGAGGGGGTCTACATCAAAAAATACTGATACGGATTACATGATGACGGAGAAGGACGGAGAGCGGATCAATGGAGAGGAGGTTATTCTTTTACCGCGAAAGCGGGGAGGTGAAGAAGTTTTTGATGAAAAGTTCGCTGGATGAGATTGACACGGTCGAGCCACTGAGACGGGCCCTTCGGCAGCCCATGCAGTGCTCAATTCTGGAGTACCCGGCGGCGTCCAAGCCAGCTCGCGACGAGTTACAGATGATCACGCGGAAGACTCGCATACCTCTATCAGAGGAGGTTCAGGTGGCCCCAAAGGTGGATGCACCCACCGTAGCAGTATTGGAGGTGACAGCTAGAGCAGATTGCATGGCGACAGTTTTTCTTGATGGAATGGAAGGTGTGCCTCCAGACAAGTTTTACATACTTGGAAGTGGGACCGTGGAGGCGGTCCTAAACGACGGAGCGGTACTAGATGCTGTGATCGATAACGACAGCGAGGCTGTCATTATAGACGAGGATCTGGCAGAGCAAGTTGGGCTGGGACTCGATAGGTCATACTTATTCGAGACAGAGACGGCTGATGGGAGAAAGCAACAAATCACAGGGGTTTATCACAAGGCAGCCATAGAGGTCCAAGGGATACGTGTGACCCTGCCAGTCTTTGAAGTCAAGAACTGCAACTCTGACCTGCTCTTGGGACGGACGTGGTTGAGCCGTGTGCATGCGGTAACGATAGAGTGACCGGACGGGAGCCAGACATTGTCCATCAAGAAGCTAGATGGGGCGCGGATTATGATTGAGACAGTGGAGCCTCGGGACCCGAGGAACAGAGCAGCTCTCGCTGTGGGTGCAAGACACAGTGATCTGATTAAGTCATTACCTATCTCCGGTCCCCCGCTGCGATTTCACGAGAAGAAGTATGGACCTCTGCTCACAGAAGAAGAAGGCAGGATTGTAGAAGTGGAAGATTTAGGGAGTCGGCTGATAGTGGACGGCAACTCGTATCCAAAGGAGGCAGATGAGGAATTCGGCGACGTCGTATCTGTGTCTTTTTTAAGGGCACAGTCCCCTACGGGGGGCTACCCAAGCGACACAAGCGAGAAGCTCAGAAAGTTAAGCCATCGGTGGTAGGCCGCGAGCGATCTGCACTGGAAGGGATATCGGAAGAAGAGATCGCAAAGGAAATCAAGGAAAGAAAGAAAAAGGAGCCGCAACGCCTAACGAAAGAGAGAATAGAAGGGATGGACATCGGAGATGATCGGAGATGGAAATCTGACCCCACAGGAGCGCGAACGTGTGATAGAAATCCTAAAGATATGCGATAAGGCTATAGCTTTCAGTGACGCGGAGCGCGGTAGGGTTGACCCTCGATACGCGAAGCCAACAAGGATTTACACCATTCCACATGTTCCTTGGAATGACGCAGGATGGAAATACGCCCAGAAGGAGAAGGAAGAGGTTATCGCTTTCCTGAAAGAGAAGATGGTTTCTCATGTTGTAGAGCCATCTGACAGCGCTTATGCTAATCGATGGTTCTTCTTACGAAAGCCGAATGGCAAGATCTGGTGGATCTAGGACCTTCAGAAGGTCAACGGGGTAACGATTCGTGACGTAGGCTCGGTACCTCACGCTGACTTACTGGCTGAAGGCGCCGCGGGCATGTCGATTTATTCGGTCGATCTGTTCTCAGGCTATGATGAGGTACCGGTTGACCCCAGGGACAGGCACCTCATGGCTATGCACACGCCATTGGGACTGATACAGATGATGGTCGTCCCTATGGGTTGGACTAATGGGGTAGCCGTTTTCCAGAGAGCTATGGTAGCCGTCCTCAAGGACTTCATCCATGACAAGGTTGAAGTTTTTTTGGATGACTTCCCTATAAAAGGACCCATAGAGAAAGATGAGACAGAAGTTGTATCAGGAGTTAGGAGATTCATCGAGCAACATCTGACCGATATTTGCGCGGTACTCGAGCAGTTAGACGATGCGAATTTGATGGTCAGCGGAACAAAAAGTCGATGGGTCGTCTCGACTATTAAGATTTTTGGCTTTATCTGCGACTCAAGAGGCCGCTGAGCAGATCCTGCGAAGCTAGACAAACTCCTAAGATGGCCGTCGCCGTTACATAGTGCTACCGAGGTCCGACAATTTCTGGTTGACTGACCACCGATGCCCTGAGCTCTCGGACCTCAGCCTCAACCACCCCCAGACGTACTCCATGACTCACTTCCTTCATCTTTTTCCTGACCAGATTAGCTTCCAACATCAGGTACCTATCAAAAGATGTCTTGACCCGGAAGCGGATCTTTCGGTCCAAGTACTCATCCGCCATCCTCGAAGTCCCGGCTCCTTCCCTCTCCAGATTCGTCAATCCCTCGCCATGCTGGTCAAAGAACTCGTCCCACATCTCCTTCATTCCGCATGGTTTAGGCGGTGGTGGCTGATCTGGGAGTGCCCCTGCCTCCTCTAACCTCTGCCTTTCTTGCCAGATTTCTTCCAAGCGCTTCCCAACTCTGGCCCGTTTCTCCTCGGCTGTCTCCCCTGCCGGTACTCTTCCTCTCGTACGGTGGTCCGCTCTCCTTGGAACCTCAACTCCCATCTCTCTCTCTGCCTGACGTGGCTCCCAGGGTAGCTCCATAGGTACGGTCCCCTCCCTGACGGTGGTAATGGGGCCTCCTCCTGCCGTGACTCCTCCTCCCTGTCGCATGCGCCCTCTGGCGTACTCCCCGGTCTCAATCCCACTATCGGTGTCTGAGGAGGAGTATCCTCCCCAACCTCTATCACCTCCTCTATAGCATGTCCCCTCTCAGTACTTGGCCTTATCTCTCGCGCAGGGTCATGGGCCTCCTCTTGTGGTACTTCCTCTGCCGGCTCGTCACCCTCTCACTCATCGGCAACACTCTCCATTGTGAGACATCCAAATGTGCCTCCAACTCCTACAGTGGCTCTCCAGATGATGGCACCTCCTCTCGTGCTCGCTGGGGAGATCCTCCCAATCCTCCTTCGGTGAAGCGATGAAACACCACTGGCCCCAACCCGCACTCAGGATATGCTCCACGCCCCTCAGTCTCAGGCAGCAACTCCTCCTCTCGTTTGGTGAGTGCCTTCCGTCCCCCTCGGGATGGCATGGCCTCTCTGGACTCAGGGTCCCTCTGCCTCTTGCTCCTCTGGCGTCTCTCGACTCTAGGCTAAGGGGGCTCTGGTCGTCAAAATGCCTCCCTCAAATGTGCCCTGCAGCCCTCCCAGTCTCGAGCCATGTCTCTGACCTGCCTGGCCAAGGGTCTCTCTGCCTTTCTGGTCCATAAGGGTAATGTCCTCGCCCACTCATCCCTCAGTATGCCCTGGTCGTGCATGAACTGGTCGAAGGCGGGGATAAAATATTCCACATTCCCGATCTCCAGGCGGATCGGCTTGCCGTCAGGCCCTACAGGCGATGGTCGTAGCTCCTGCATCCTTATCTCAACCTCTGGCCAGGTTTTTGCCTCCCACGAATCCGTGCGATGGGCTCAGCAAACCTGCCAGCTCCTCTCAGCCTCTCAATCGTCTGAGTCATCGTTCAACCCATATGCTTCGCATACCCCTGAAAATCATCCAAAAACAGCTCTATATCCCCGTCATCGTATACGGTGTCGCACTTTTTCCCAGTCGAGCCACTTCGGGCGACCAGAAAGCCAACAGGCTGTCACACAGGATTTGGTTGTTGTTTGCAATAAATAAATTAAATAAAGCAAATCCCTTCCTGTTGTGTGCATCCGGCTTCGAGCGAGATCCTTCAATAGCGGTCTTCGCCGGTCCCCGGTCTTAGAAATCTTTTATTTTGATTCGGAACAACAGAGAATCATGCAAATAACAATAATGAAGTTTCTGGTGTGTCATGCATGCATTAATTTTATCAATTTACTAATTTTGAGAATTGCGACAGTGTCATCATAGAATACAATCATCAAGCAAGGCAATGCAAAGAAGCAAGACTGACTGACTCGAGCAATGACAAAATTAAGTGAGGGAAGAATGAAAACTCATAATAGTACACAGGTGGAGAGCATGGCCAACACCAGTCAAGATTCCTCACTCATCCTTCTGAACCTCGCTCTCAATCTCTCAATTTGTTGTCCGTCGTTTGGGCTTTCGGCCATGTCTCAGTGCTATCTGGAGGTAGAGCCACTTGAAGCCTGCTAGTTCCGAGCACTTCCATCCAAGTCCCATGATACGGAAGTCAACCATAGCACAAAACTCCTCCCAGAGTGTGGGAAGATACGGTTGAGAGAAGATCCCTCGCCTCAGGTATGGGAAATCGGAAGGCTCAGTCATTGTCTCGTAGTCAATCACTACAGGAGAGATGTACCTCCTTGCTAGATCCACCAGGTCGCCCCAATAAGAACCGTCAGTGAGAATAAAAGGAACCGGGGACTTAGGATAGTCCGTATATAGCTTCCGTCCGAAGCTGCGGATCAGCTTTGTACCACTCTCATCAAGTTCCCCTTCCCTTTCCTCAAGATACCTTGCTGCTGTGAGCCAAACTGAATCGAAGTGCTCATGGGTTTCTCTACCCTTCTTCAAATAAATCCTTAGGTCATGGATGGTGTCCGCTGCAAACTTGGTATGAACCACAAAGACAAATAGTCCCCCTTGCTTGAAACCAGTTGCACTAACATACAGATACTGTAAAGCATCTTTGAGAGTTATCCGATCGAGGCTGGCCAAAACTGACCCGCTAACTAGGAATGGTTGAACCACACTCATGTGAAAAGCGTGACTGTTTGGAACCAAAATCAGTGTCTTTTGCTGAGAGTACCACCTGACTGATATCGATCTCTGAAGCGGTTAACAATAGTTGTACGCTGATCGAACTTTGACTAGAAGTTCCGGGTAACTCGATCGTGTTGACTGAGAGCTGATTGAATACTGATTAGATGTTGGCTCAATACTGGAGTATCGAATCACTGAATGCGGGTCTCTTAGTGTCAAACCGCCGAGGAAACTGTAGCTTACTGAGTGGGGCCTACTAGTTCTGATACTAACAGAGTTTCGAAATGAGGGTTTGGACACCACTAAGCTTGTCTGAGCTTCGCCCTAGCCTGCTCCACTGTCTCTAACAATGAGCCATTGTTGTGCAATTTGCCCTCACAACTGTTAAAGTAGAGCACGCATTCAATGTACCTTTCTTCTCTGACCATTCGGGCTGCTTGTTCCCTCTCAGCCTGTTTGTTGTGCTCCATATCCTGGATGGCTTCTGCTTCCCAACCAGTGTCTTACCACCGGTCACCGTTCACGGGGTCTGTGGACGGAGACCGGTCATAGAGTTCACCCCGTTCACAACACGGGAGTTCATCGAGTTCACAGAGAGCGGGCTTTTTTTTTTTTTTTTTTTTTGGTTGGGGGGGTATGTTTTATTTTTTATAGGAGGGTGGGGGACATCGAAGGGTAACTCCCTATAATTTTTTCAATTTTGTTTTTTGAACTTTTTCACGAATAATATTTTTTTAATTAAAAATGAAAAAAAAAATTCCACCATCCAAAATAAGCATTTTCGTTTGCTATTTTGTAGGTCATTTTGATTTTTTTTTTTTTTCAATGTCATCATGTTGTGGGGCTTGAGGCGAATGGACCGAGGGAAAATGGACCACGGAATGCCCGACACACTAGAAAACGGCGTCGCGGGCCTGGGGGAGTGTGACGGTAAAACGACGACGGCACGACAGGGATCCCGCGACCGGGAAATTATCAACGGCCCTTGGGACACATGAAAAGAATAAAACGGGACTGACGGGGACATAGGAAATCCCAAATAAAAATTGGGCGTCAACCGGGATGAAGCC